TGCAAGTGAATTCAGGATACTATAAAGCAACATGTTCTCATTGTAATAATCGCTGGCCAAGGGTAAACCATACGATTTAAAAGCTTATCTTGCAATTCATTGCTCAAGTGTACCAGAAGATGTTTAAAAATATTAACATGATAAACTTGTAGTACAAAACAATAAATATTCAAGGAATTTACAATTAAATACACCCTTACCCGCACAAGCTAATAACTATTATGATGAACTTCTTTTAAAGACCTGAATAATGGCCAATATCTCATTTGAAGTAGTCAAAAATCTATTTATCAAGAGTCTATTCAAAGCTTATAATTCTGCTTATATGTTGCCATCACGCAAACATTATCTGGACGGTTATTAGATAAAGAATTTGCATATGTGCAAAATGCTATTGACAATGAGGTAGAAAATGCAGAATATCTAACCTTAAGTAATGAATTATTTTTTTAAAAAAATATTCAGAATTGATTATTAGTTAAGTCAAAGCTATCTATAAAAAAAAAAATTCAACCCCAATCGGTTTAATTTTAATATATTTACAAAAAAAAAACTTTCATATAACTAGTTTGTTATTTATATATTTATATATTTTTTAATCTTGATCTTAATTAAAACTGCAATTCTTATATCGATATATATACTTAATAATAGGATATAATTACCAACGCTTTGATTGATGGATTTAATTGTCATCCAAATATAATTAGTTTTGAACTTTAGAGATTAGCCATATTTGGATTAGTCAAAACCTTTTTTTTTATAAAGCCCCAATTAGTAAAGTATGTGCATATCGATATATACAAAATACGAATCTAATCTTATATATCCCAGCAAGTCCCAAATATATAACATTGAGATCTATTTAATAAGGACCTATCATGCTTTCTAGTTTTGCAAATAAGAATAACCCTATATCTTAAATATAGTGAATACAAGTATTATATATATGGCTAAATTAGAATGAATTTATGACTTATATTTAATTATAGAATATTTCTGCACTTTGCAAAAAGATATGACCTCTGCAGGTCACCATAATTAGAGATTCTATAGGTAAAGTTTTTTTAATTTTTTTTTTTTTAAAAAAAAAATTTGAATTTAAATTTTAATAATCTTTTAGATCTCTACGGCTTTGAACTTTATTGTATTTTGCAAAAAGATGTGATCTCTGTAGGTCACAATATCATGTGAAAATCAGAATTCTGTGAATTTTAAGAATATTACCAATTTCAAATAAATATAAATATAATTGATCGAAAATATGAATTAATAGACAATTTAAAACTAAAATTTTCTTTAATTATCACAGAAATAATGAGGGCATATCTTTTGCAAAGCACTATAATAAGAATCGATTCTGAACATCATATTCGTATATATTTTAAGATTTTGTATATTAATAATTTTTTTTTTATTATAGCTCTTGATGGATAGACTTCGAAGCATGGAGATTCTATATTTAGCTATATTGTAATAACTATGAAGCGAAAATAATATTTAATTGCAGTAAAAAATTATTCTTCAAAATCTCATACTGATAATTTTTAGCTTTAAAAATTTTGAATATTATCGAACAAATTGAATCTAAAAAATTTACGGTAGTTGTTACGAATTCAGCTTCTAATTGTAAACTTGCAAGAGAAAAAGTTCAAAACCAATATCCACATATCCTAAATATTTATTGCATCGCCCACGCTATTAACTTGATAGCTATAGATCTAACTAAAATTGCTGAAATAAAGGTATTTATTAATCATTATAGAAAATTAATAAAATTTTTTACTAAATCTTCTCAAAAGTTGGCATTATTGTGACAAGGATTAACTAATATGAAAATCAAGTCTAAAGATCTAGAAACATGGTACCTAACTCATTGGGGGCTATTATATAATACTACAAATTTCATGTTAATTGCATATCCAGTGTTTGACTAGATATGCAATCCTTTTTTTTTTAAAAAAAAAAAATATTAGTTACATACATAATACTAATAAGTATAATACTGGTATGTGTAGATGTTGCTTGAATATCCAGGTATATTTACAGATAAGGAAAATGTTAATTTGTTATATGATAATAACTTTTTTATTACTTGCTAGTAGAGGTTGAAATCGAATTTAATTTTTAAATTCAATTTTTTTTAAAATAAATTTGAATTAATTCGAATTTTTTTAAAATGAATTTGAATTAATTTGAATAAATTATATAAATTCATATGAATTCATATGAATTTATATAAAATATATTTATACAAGATTATGCAAGATTATGCAGAATTATGCAAGATTATGCAGGAATATACAAGATTATGCAGGATTATACAAGATTATGCAAAGATATATATATGTATATCTTGTATATTTTTGTATATTAGTATATAATTCTGCATAATCTTGTATGATTCTGCATAATCTTGCATAATTTTGCATAATTTTGCATAAATATATTTTATACAATTCATATAAATTTATATAAATTCATATAAATTCATATAATTTATTTGAATTAATTCAAATTCATTTTTTAAGTGAATTAATTCGAATATTCATAAAGTTGAATATTCGATTCTAACTTTTACTTGCTAGCAAATTCATTCAATCTGAAAATCAATAAAAGCTTGTATAAATGCTTTAGAGAGTGGCTTTGCATTTTTAGCAGACTGTTATATTTATTTGATGAAGTTGGCAATTGTGATCTATCATATTCCTGGATCAATTTCATTTAAACTTGTTATAATTCAGCTATTTAATCGACGTTATATAGAATTTCAGCACCCATATTATCTATTGTATTACTACCTTCATCCATTTTATCATGATACTGTAAAAAATAAATTATTTTTAGCTTATTATTATATTTCAAATTTGATTACTATTTTTTTTTTTTTTTTTTAATTAGAAAAAGGGCTTAAGAATGAGGCATTTTGTAATACTGCTATAACTGCTTCAACCATATAGAAAAATTATTCACATACTGAGCAAGAATACAAGGAATTAATATCCCAGTTTTATTATTATGATATCAAGAATAAATCATTTGATCTATTTTATGTTCAAGAGCTTGATACTCCTTTATTATGACAGGGTCTATAAAAAGCAAACTGCACTATCTTTCTGAACTTGCACAGAAACTCTTTAGTATTACTCTATCTTAGACTAATTGTGAAAGAAGCTTTTTGACCCTTAAGTGGTTTATTGGTGACAAACAGATACGTCTTGATGTTCAAAAGCTTGAGAAAATAGTAAAAATTAGATCATATTATATAACAAATATACAGAATAAGCTTAACTGTTTAAATGCTAAATTGACAAAATATGAGTTGTGCAAAATAGTAAATCTTGTATCGATTAATAGTTTTATTGAAGATGAGAAAGATGAAAAAAACAAAAGTGAAAATAATAGTATATATAATGATGATCTCTTAACCCAGACTGATTTAATTTTGGAAGAATCTGTAAATTTAAAAGATCCAGTTTTTCAAGAAGAAGATTTCATACCATGTGAATTTTCAACAAGTGATACAAGTGATAAAGGCAATAATAATGTTGAAAGCAGCAGTGATATAGATTTGGATCCTGAAAGTCTTGTCAATACCATCTTAAATGAACTAGTTGATTAGTATAACAGGTATCATCTTTGTTATTTCTGTGATATTTTAAGTTTTAATATTTCTAATTAATTTAGTTTTGAATTATTAGTAATATAAAAGATCACTTGCAAACCTGACTAAATCATTGAAAATTGAATCAAATATCATGTTTTTTGAAAAACAAATAAAATAATATAATTCAAATAATTATTTTTATTTTATTTTTTTTTCCATCTTTGGCAGTCTTGCCAGTGATCCTTTATTAAGATTATTGCATTACAGGTTGATACAATGTTGA